GTTTGGAAGAAGGGGAAGTGGGAGAGGAAGTAGGGGGAGGGGCAGGGTCACTGCTTGGAGTTGTATTGCACTGTGCCAGGCATCACTGGAGTGTTTGAGTGGGGTGCGGGTCCCTTTAATTCCAAAGGGACATTATATTAGCTGGGGATGTGGTTGCTATTGCAGTTTTCTAAAGTAGGAGCTGGGAGGTTGGCTTGGAGGCCAGGGAATAGTGCTAGAAAGAGAGAGGGTGGTGATGGTGAGAAATGGGTGATTCTAGATATCTTGTTCAACAGAGGATACATTTTGCAACAGTCACTTTTGATGACTGACATGGAGTCTGACAGCTGGAGAGAAGTCTAAGAGACTCTGGGACTTTGGGTTTCTGCAATCAGGTGTATGGTGATGCATTTATTGGGACCCGTGTGGGAAAGAGGTCAGAGGGGTGTTGAGGTTGAGATGGGATGAGAGGCTGGGCTGATGACGTAATTGGGGATTTGTCACCTTGGGGAGACAGCAGAGGATGATGTCACCAGGAACTGAAGAGTAAACCCAAGGACTGATGGGCTAGGAGCCTCTGCCTGGGAGAATGGAGGGTGGAGAAGGTTCTGGGCTGAGAATTGCTCAGTAGGGTTGTAGCTGTGTGAAAGAAGTGCTTAAACATAAAGGGGGGTGGTGGTGGGGAAAATGGGGACAAAGGGACAATAGTATGATGAAGGACAGAACTGGACTTTTATGGATAAACTTGATATAGTATATACTCATGTTGATTTATAATGATGCACAACCAAAACTTACATCATGCTATATTGCGGTGTCACTTTGCTTAAAAAAAAAGGAAAAAAAACAAGAGTGTGATCATTTGTGCCAGGGTCTCTGAGAGTGTGGGGAGATGCGGCTCAAGAGGGCCTTCCTGGTGGGGAGGTAAGAGCTAAATAAGACACGAGAAGGGGTCTCCCAAAGATGGGGAGGAGGAAGGCAGGAGTCGGGGGCTGGGGGTGGGAAGAGGCTCCAGGCAGCGGAGCCAGGAGCCAGTACCCAGTACGTGCCAAAGGCCTGAGGGGTGAGCTGGAGAGGAGGCGAGCAGGCTGGAGAGAGCAGGGGAGCAGATGGTGCCTCTGGGACCGCTCCCCACTTCCCAACACCCAAACTTCAGGCCTAGCTCACATAACCCCAACCCTTGCCTAGTCCGCCACCTCTTGCTCAGGGGCAGGTTTTTTAGGGGAAGCCCCTCTCCCCAAAAGTGTCAACTTCTTGGCTCCTCATTTCAGAAGGCAGGTTCAGTACAAGGTGGGAAAAAACTTGGAAAAATGCAAATTCTGCAGAGGAACAGCCTTCTCCTCAGGTTCGGCCTGACTAAACAATGACCACCTCTGCCGCCAGCTCATGCGGGAGTCGGCCCTGGGTCTCCACGGGGGAGTGGTGCTGTCCTACCTTTTGGTGTCCAGTGGGGGCTCTGGGTATCAGCAGCCAGGCTGGGCCCTGTTCCTCCCCGGAGGACGGATGCTCAGACCTTTGCAACCATCACCATTCTTCTCAAACCCAGGGCATCAACCATCAGCTCTGTATCCCCAAGGGTACAGTCAAAGCCTCTGCTCGGCTCGGGGTCTCTTTTTATATCCTGAGTGAGGAAGGTGGCCACGAGGTCCTGAGGTGGCTTCCATTTCTCACCCCTGTGTGCGCATGTTCTGGAGAGCCCACTTCTGCCTGTCCGGGAAGTCAGATCTGCTGAGAAGTTCAGAGCCTGGGTTCCTTGTGTCCTCTGAGAGATTTGTGGGGAAAGAATAGCTGGTGAAATTTAGGCTGTTCCATTCACTCTTCTCAACTTTCATCAGGGTTTCTAAGCCACTCCAGGGAATAAAAATGGGGTTGAGGCCCTCCCTCGTGTTGCAGTGGGGTAGGATGCAGCACTGCAAGCTGGCTGCGGCCAATGAGAGTTCGATCCTGGCCCTGGAGGTGACCACATGGCGTGGCAGACCTCTCCTGACCTGCCCGCTGCTCTTCTCAGCATTGTACTTTGTGGATCTGCCTGTTCTGCTCCCCGCTCTGTCTCTGGTGAAACCTCTCACCACCCCTACATCTCTGGCCTGTACCCCAGTTCTGTATGCATAAATAAATAAATCTTAAAAAAAAATGGGGCTGATTGCCCAAGTTCTTCCACATTTTGTGTCCTTTCACTCTGTGTGACTGAATAACCATATCCTCTAACTGACATGAAGGTGGTGGGTCTCCCAGAGGCCAGGTACCTGGTTCAGGTGGCTGCACTGGGACTTGAACTTAGATGCATTCCCCAGGCAGCTGACTCTTCTACAACTCCCCCCAACCTCCACAGAACACACCACCCTGAAATGTCCAGGATTCTATTCCAGTGACAGTCTACAAATTTGATTCAATTTCATTTTTCCTTTCAGTTTGGGTCAATGACCTGTTTGACCCAGTAGGTTCTGGGTGGTTGGAGATGATAAAGCAGGACTCCTTTGCTGCTAGTGGGCCAGTCACAGGAGAGAGAACCTGTTTGTCCCAGGGGTCTTGAGGAACCTGATGGTCCCTGGACCTGAGCCCTGTGGGATTACCTGAAGGGATTCTGCCAGGGGCAGCTGTGCAGGCCAGGATGCTCTGGGCATATTAGCCACTACTTGGCCAACTTTCTGGAAAGAGGCCAGAGGTTGCCCCTGCCTCCCTGTGCCACCTGGGTAATCCCCAAACATGATGTGTGAGGTCACTGAGCTGAGCAGCTCAGGAGATGCCCCTGGTCTTAAGTAGCTGAGGTCCAAATTATGACTGCATTTGTCTGGGGATTCATGGCTTGTTTATACCACCCTACCTCGCTGAGCCCTTTGTAATTCCCGGTGGCTGCGATGGTTATGTCTGCGGATAGATGAGAAAATGGAGGCAGGGAAGAGCTCAAGGTCTCATGGAGCCAAGGCCATATTGACTGCAAACCCCAGGCACCTGTGCCAGACTGGATAGTCCAAATCTCATTCTGGGGAGCCTTAGGGTGCCACCATTCTTAGGGCTGCACTTCTCTCAGAATCAGTAAGCCTGATAGGAGAGACTTGTGTTGCTCATACAATGTTTCCAGAGGGCTGCCCCAAACTCTTGCTTTTCTCTTGGGAACTAGTTCCCAAGAACTAGTGCTCTTTTCCTAGGCTTCCCTCTCTCTTGAGGGGGAAGAAGAGCTCTGTTCCCTGTTGAAGATGTATGCAACTCCACATGGCTCAAAGGAATATAAAGTGTGGGTGGGGAGGCAGCAGACATGCCTGAACTGTCCTAGTTCCGTATGACTTGGTCAAATCCTTTACCTCAGGCTCCCTATCTTGTAAGATGAGGGGGCTGATCCAGGTAATTCTGAAGGATGATGCTTAGTTCATGGGGTCTTTAAGAAGGGGTGAGCTCCTCAAACTGTATGAAAATGATGTAATTTTTTTGAGTGAATGTTTTTCCAGAAGGAGCATCTATAAATTTTTATCAGTCTCATGGGGATCATCAATATAGAACCTCTAGCTTCCCAGGATATTTGTTTTCTTTATAATTGTTGAGAAATCTAACTTTCTCTTTTGAAGGAGAGAGAGATTTAGGTTGCAAGAATGTTGTCCGAAAAGTTATTTGCAGAAAGGAAACAAAGACATATAAAAGAGATAAGCAGAGCTAAAACTATGGGAACTACATGGGAGCGTGAGAAACTGCGAATGAGTTGACAACGTTGTTTAAGTTCCTGGCTGCAGCCACACCTGATATACTCTATTCAACTATAGGAATAACTGTCCTTTCTCTCTTAAGCATTTTCTTTTCTTTTTTTAAAAAAATATTTATTTTTATTTATGCATATAAGAACTGAGGTTTAGGCCAGAGGTGTTGGGGGTGGGGGGTGTAAGAGCATTAACCAGAGACAGAATGGGGAGCAGAACAGGCAGATGTACTGAAATACACTGCTGAGGGGAGCAGTGGGCCAGACAGGAGAGGTCTGCTGTGCCATGTGGGTCAGCTCTCTGGCCAGGGATGGAATTCTTTCTGCAGTGGCTGATGATGGCTTGATAGTGCTGAGACTTAACCCTTTGTACCACTAGGGAGGCCCTCTTAAGCATTTTCTATTTCAATCACAAATAGAATAAATGACTGATATACTAATATTACTAAGAACACTCCTGCCATTTGAAAAATTATGAAGCTCAACACAGGAAAAGCAAATTTAGAAAAGGTTAGAGGTGGGGGGTGTTCCCTCTCATGCTTTGTTTTGAATTTCAGGGAAGAAAAGTGCTCCCTGTCTTGTTCCCCATTTTTTAATCTTTGAGCTAACAGAAAGGACTTTAGAATCAATCCTGTCATAACAGAGTTGGGAACCTAACAAGAGGAAAGTGTAAGCTGGGATGTACCTTTCTCAGGTTACATAGTAGAAGGGCTGCTGGACTGAGACTGGATCACGTTACCTTCTCTCAGGTATGTGGCACCTATCTGGGAGATTTTCCTCAGTGTTGCTTTCCCAGGCAGGTGGGCCAGTTGGCAGAGCTTAGGGGACTTCTTGAGTCCACGTGAGCTGCATAGCCACAGGGATCCGTATCTTATCCAGAAAATTCTGCAGTCTGCATTTCTTTTTCGGGTTCCCTCGACACCTGCAAACAACGGAGCCATTTGGCCTAGAGATGTGGAGGAGGTGAAGGGATTTCAGTCCACTTTTCTTCAACTGCCCCCTCCTCAAGTTCCACCCTTTCTCAGGTGACAGACAGGCCCACTCGAGGCCTGAAGTTTCAGTTAAGATTGGGGCCCTAGGGTGTCTGGGCCAGGCCAGACATTGCCACCGTCTCTGGCAGTAGGGTCAATGACAGGCAAGCAGGATTTACACACAGTCCCGGAGGTTACATTCAGCCCCTGGTAAGATTTGTTCAGCCCTTGGAGGGCAGTAAAGTCCAGGTCAGGAAAAGGGGGCTCCAACAAGGCTATTACTAAGAGGAATTGCCCAAGTGGAATGAGAAGGCAAAGCAGGACCCACCTCCCGCTCAGTTCACAAATGACTCCAAGCCGCACAGGAGAAGTGACTTTTAATGTCCAATTTGGATTCCAGCCCCACCCACGTGTCACCGGTTAGAGAAGTCCCAGGAGGAGCTGGAGAGGTCCGAAGTCCCGGGACCACGCCCGCCCACCGGCTAGGGCCGCGCACTCGCTCTGCCCACACACGCGCACATGCAGCACACACGTACACCGCACAGACACACGCACGCGTACCCACGGTTAAATACAAGTACAGAGGAACTCGTGTAGCTATGTACAGAGAGAGACGGAAACCCCGGCCGGGCGGGCGCCCCAGGCTCTCAGCATGCTCGGCCCAGCTCTCTGCGCTGTACCTGGCACCCATGCCCCTGCCAGAAAAGCAGCTGTCCCTCTCCCCGCCCCCCTCCCCCCATCCCGGGGCCCGAGCCTCGCGGGCGCCACCACGCCCCTCCCCGCCGCCCCCACGGGGCTGCAGTCCTCCCCGGTCCGGCAGGCGCGCAGGGGGTCCTAGAAGTGCCCGGGGGCCAGGGGCATGTTGCTCTTGAAGCCCGGCTGCCCGTTGGCCACGTCGGCCGCCACCTCGCAGTCCCCGTGGCCGGCGTCGCCGTCGGTGCCCGGGCTCTCCGGGTCGGCCAGGAGCTGGAAGGTGAAGAGCGGGCCTGAGTCGTGGCGGCCGCGGCGGCCGAGGGGCTCGGGCGCGGGCAGGCTCAGGAGCGCGCCCGGCGCTCGCCACTCCGGGAAGGCGCACAGCTCGACCGGCGGCGGCGCCCCGCGGCCCAGGTAGCCCGGGCTGGGCGAGGCGGAGGGCAGGGTCCGCTGGCTGCCGCTCAGGCAGCTGCCGTTGTCGTCCAGCGAGTCCTTGCGCGACTGCGAGCGCTCCAGCGAGCCGCCGCGCGTCCACGGACGGTAGGTGTAGGCGCAGCCGCCCAGGCGGCGGCGGCGGCGGCGGCGGCGGCCGCCGCGGCACTGGCACCCCAGGATGCGCAGGAAGGCGCGCTTGAACTCCTTGCTGGAGCACGGGTAGATGATGGGGTTGAGGCAGCTGTTGAAGTAACCCAGCCAGAACACCACCTTGAACACGGCGTCGGGGGGCTTCAGGGTGGAGAACAGGGAGCCTGCAGGGGGCGGGGTGGGCACGGGCAGAAAGACAGACAGCAGTTTGTGAGTAGTCAAACCTCTCCTGGCTGCACCGCCTGAGGAAGGACCACTGACGCCTTTCTGGCCACCAGATCTTTGCCCAGGAGCTTGCACCGCCTAGCGCAAAAGCCTGGAGTACTGATACATAGGGCCAACCTATACTCCCCCTGCTCCGGCTGAGCAGCCTCTGAGTACCTGTATAGACTTCCCAGGGCCAGCACTCACCACTTTCTACCCAAGTGACAGGCATCATCACCCACCAGTGCACATCTCTTTGGGTTAGAGGCCACGCACTGGCACTTTATTATTTCATCCGTCCCCAATCGCCATGAAGAAGATGCTGACCATTTCCGTGGCAAATATGAGATTATTAAAGACCACATGAAGAAGGTAAACTTGAAAGGTAAAAGGAGACCATGTAAAGGACTTTTTTTTTTTTGACCCAGAGGTAAAGCAAAACGACAGTTCAAAAAGATAAACAGGAGGGAACAGTCAGAGGAAATGTTTTCATCGTCTAAGGTAGTGTCTAAGACTGGTGTCTGCAAATGAAGGAGAAAAAGACAGTGTTCCCACTGGAAGCCTGGGGAAGGAAAAGGAAAAGGCAATTTACCAAACAGGAAATGGGTGGGCTGAGGCACATGTAACAAATGCTCAAAATAGGAGGTAGCGAAATAGCTGAAATGAAAGGCATAAAGAAATATAACTGGCAAAAATCAGGAGGCTAGGTAGTGCCAACTATCAGCAGACATTCTGGAGAAGACTCTGTAGTGCCAACTATCAGCAGACATTCTGGAGAAGACTCTGTATCGCTTGATCTCATTCAATTTATACACTTCATTTGACCCAGCAATTCTGCTCCAAGGTACAGGCCAAAGAATTTTCACTGAGGCCCATAAGGAGACATACATGAGCATGCTTAGGGCAGTGTTTTTTTTTTTCTTTCTTTTTTAAGATTTATTTATTTACTCATACAGAACTGGGGTACAGACCAGAGATACGGAGGGTAGGAGGAGCCACCAGAGACAGAGTGGGGAGCAGAACAGGTAGACTGTCCAAGTACACTGCTGAGGGGAGCAGCGGGTGGGTCAAGAGAGGTCTGCCGCGCCATGTGGTCACCTCCGGGGCAGGCGGGGATCGAACTCATGCAGAAGTGGCTTAAGCTTCTTAGAGCTGTGCTTTAACCTGCTGCGCCACCAGGGAGGGCCCACGGCAGTGTTGTTTATAGTGTCAACGATTTAGAGAAAACCTCGGTGCCTCTTACTGGGGATCATGGAGTGGTAGAGTGGGCTAGAGCCACGGCCTGGTGATTATGCAGCCTTTAGAGACTCAGACAACATATCGTATATATAGCAGTGAGAAAGGATCTTAAATACATCATGAAAATAGTAGGAATGAGAATGAGATTTAAAACTATTTAAGCAGCAGGCCAAACAACTTTCATATACATGTCAAATATAGATGGGGTGCCTGAGGGTGGAGGCAGATGGCAATGGAATGGGAAGTGGGAATCAAAGGAAGTATGCCAATAATATGAGAAAGAGACCTGGCTGAGACCAATGGTCACGAGGTGTTATATATCAAGAAACATGACTGACTCAGCCCTCAGAATTTGCAGTCCAAAACCAGTTTAAGCTAATATAAAGTTAAAAACTATTTATTTTAGAAAAAAGAAATCCTCTTTTTGTACACTGTTGGAGGAATGTAGACTGGCCTAGCCATATGAAAGCAATATGAAAATATTAAAAATAGACCTGCCATATGATTCAGCAATCTCACTCCTAGAAAAACACTAATTCACAGGTAAATAAGCCTTCCTTTGTTCTCTGCAGCACTATTTACAATAGCCAAATAATGGAAAAACCTAAGTACCCAATGACATATAGAAGAAGATCTAGGCTATATACACAATGGAATACCATGCAGCTATAAAAAATACAAACTTTGGCCATATGTGATGACATGATGGAACTGGGAAGGAAAATACTAAGTAAAATAAATAGGAAGGAGAAAGACAGATAGCAGATGAAATAGAAACAAAACAAAGGGTCAGATAAAGCTAAATCAATAGCAAACCCTGAGGATCTGACTAATTGAGGCTACCAGAGTGGAAGGGGGAAAGTGAGGATAGAGAGCAAAGTGTGGAGGGGGCACAATAAACTGTGGTAGAGGATTATGGGGGCCTTCGTAGTGGGTGTGGTATGGTAAAGTACATCTGAAGAAGTGTGATCCTCTATCTCTGAATCATATAAAGTGTTATAAACCAATGTTACCTAGAAAAAAAAGTCAATTATTTCTATTTTAAATGTAAGGCAACTGTTACCTAAGGAAGCTCAGTCACATACCATGTATGACCTGCCCACATCACACAACATGTTAGACAATATAGGGGGGATTTTACTGAATTCTGATTGGATACAAAATGTTTTTTTTAAATGCTATTTTTAAACAGATTTATTTATTAAAGCATGCAGAATTGGGGTACAGGCCAGAGGTGCAGGGGTGGTGAGAAGATTCATCAGAGACACAGTGGGGAGCAGAACAAGCAGATTCACTTAAATACACTGCTGAGGGGAGCAATGGGCAGGTCAGGAGAGGTCTGCCACACCATGGTTGGTCACCCCCCTGACAGGGGATTGAACTCATGCTGAAGTGGCTTTAGCTTTGTAGTGCTGTGCTTTAACCCGCTGCGCCACCAGGGAGGGCCTGTGTTTTTTAAATGCTATTAATAATCCCCTGTGTGGAAAGTGAGGAGACATAAAAAAGTAAAAATGTATTTAAAAGGCACACACAGACCCACAGTGTTGAGGAGTCACAGTTGGGTACATAAACTTTCAGGCCCTTTTTTCCTATTGTATCTACACATTTTACATTTTCAAAATGGGATGACAGGATACAGAACATTTTGTAACTTCAAATCATGTCCCTAACCTGGCACTTCTCCTGCAGTACAGTGACTTTGCTGTTCCTGTCTTATCTCTTCTGTTAGATTGTGAGCTTCCCAAAGACTTGGTTGTTTGGATCCTTTAGTCAAAGGAAGAACACAAGCCTAGAATACTGTCTGAATGGGAGGGATCTTAGCAACCACAAAGTCCAGCCTCCTTAATTTTCAGATGGAGACAATGACAACCAGAGAATGGCTGAATACCCCACAGGTGGCCGCACAGCTGCCTTAAGAATCCCTAGCTTTGGGGTCCTCCCTGGTGGTGCAAAGGTTAAACACAGTCCGAAGCCACTGTAGCATGAGTTCCATTCTCAGCCAGGGAGGTGACCCACAGGGCGCCATCAGACTTCTGACCTGCCCGCTGCTCCCCTCAGCACTGTCTTTCAGAATATCTGCCTGTTCTGCTCCCTGCTCTGTCTCTGGTGAATCTACCACCCCCACCCCACACCGCTGACCTGTAGCCCATTTCTTGTATGCATAAATAAATAAATCTTAAAAAGAAAGAAAGAAAGAAAGAATTCCTAGCTTTGACCACATACTTTACCTTCTTGGTTATTTGAAGAGGACCCTATTGTCCGGGAGCTTCCTACTTCTCTGTTTGGCAACCCAGAGCTGGTGACTGTGCTTCAGGAATAGGACTAGCCAGAGAAGAGTTAAACTTGGAAAGAAAAAAATAAATGCTAACCTAAGTACAGTTCTTCACTCAACTCTGGGGCAAATATGGGTTTGGGCGACCAACTGTGGTTTGCGGTGGACAAGCTGGATTAGCGCGCCACCTGGTGGTCAGATTTGTGACGGGGCTGCACGTGAGGTTTGCGCCTCCTGATGTGAGCACTGTTTTGGATGAAGATGCCAGGAAGGCCCTTCTGAAATCAAATAGGGCGTGTGCGATGTCTCTGTCCACAGGGGTGACCTTATTTTGGGGCACTCCGCCTAAAGGGTCCCGTGGGGAGTTGCATGGGGATGCTTGCTGAAGACAAACCCATAATTGTGCTGGCCACACCTATTGGAAAGGAGGCAGCACGTGACCACCCGGATGCAGCCCAAGAGATGGACTCTCTTAAGGACACACAAGCAGCAGTGATACTAACAACTCATGCTCATCAGAACCAAAACAATCCATAAAATGTAGTGAAAATGCCCTTCAAGGAGAGGAACCAAAGTTAACAATTTTGTTTTTAATCCTTTCCTTTTAGATTTTTTTTTAAATGGGATCTTACACAAACCTTTCCCCAGATTGCATTTTCACATAGAATATGCAGAATATATGCCTAGAATATATATGCTGTCCTCAGTTAATGTGTTTTTGAAAACTGAAGGTATATGGCATCCTTGCATCCTGCAAGCCTACCAACATCATTCTTCTCGTTCTGCATTACCTTTAGTATGTTTCTTTAGACATAATACTCTACTATACTTAATAGACTGTGTATAGTGTAAACATGTCTTTATATGCACTGGGAAACCAAACAATTCCTGTGACTGTCTCTGGCGGCTTCACTTTATTGTGGAGTCTATCTGAGGTGTGGGCATATAAGACGTTGACCCTTTTGAGACACTGTACCCTACCAACTGGATACAGAGTAATCTATATAGTACTTTCCTGGTGGTGTACAATTTCTGGTTGTTGTGAACTGCAGAAGTGTGCTTTTCCCATGTTTGGGTGTCTCCCAGGATACATGTCCCCCAGGAGGAAGCACGGGGTTAGTTCCACACTGCAGCGCAGACACCAGCTCAGATTCTTTCTCAACTGTGATGCTGCCCCCCATCCGCACCCCCACTGCTCAGAGCTGGCACAGTGTTGTAATCTTTGTGTGTCTGGAAGCTGAATGATGCTGTTGCTCTCTTGCTTGTTTGCATTCCACACACTTTATTTTGTCCTCCTGTGGACCCCACCCTTGGTGAAGAGCCTCGGTGACTAGTGACAGGGAGTCCCTTTCGGTTAGAACCAGTCTCTTGAGCATAAATCCTATTTATCTTCACCTGGAGCCATGTGACCTGGGGCATACTTCACCCAGCCTTGGCCTTGGTTCCCCA